ATGTATGGCGTATTATATATATATATATATATATATATATATATATATATATATATATATATATATATATATTTCTAAGGTAATATATTTTATGTATCAATCCTACATATATTTATCACTTTAAATGTTATTAATGGGATATATATATATATATATATATATATATATATATATATATATATATATATATATATATATATATATATATCCTATGTATGTATATAGTGTAATGGAATGTCCCACACTCACTATCGCCTATGTGAACTGACTATACCAGTCGCTAGTTGGATATTCGTCTCCAGCTTAATTGGTCGAACTCTGCAGTCAGGCAGAGAGGGGAACGCAGACGAGGCTATGCTGAAGGACAGTCTCGTCTAGGGTGGTAGACAGCTACCCTACCCCGATTTTTACGGGTTCTGCGGGAAATTTTATCATGAGCGTACGTGTTCAGATACCTCACGTTAAATTCGGCCTTGTGCCACATCTGACCGCGTGAGGCGGTTGGCAAATATCCTTGCTTCGGGAAGTACTAGCCTGCCACCCAATTCCCTGTCTTTCAATAGTGTATTTACAATAAATCTCTCTTCTTTCACGTACGCACCTTTTGCTGTTCCATAACTCGAGTACCAACTTTTCTTTGTTTGTAAACTCTTTAGGGATACAACAATATAAAGCCGCTCAATGTTGACCTCAGTGTCCGATTTTATAATCACATAAGCTCTATCCCTGATAGTGAGAATATTTCCGAAACAAAAAACATAATAAATATCTATCTACAGAGTTTTGGAGAAATGTGGACATTTTATGTTAAATGTCCTGTAGACATTTTATGTTAAATGTCCTGTTGACAAACTTAAACAGAAAAATACAAAAATAAAACGACCAAAAGACAAAATTAGAATTCTGCTTTCTTTATTCTTTCATATAACATGGGATCCAAAATCTCGTATAACACGGTATTTGAAATCTAAATACACTCGCTCTATGAGAACCTCTGGTAGAATGTATTATCAGTAGATCCTTATAGTTTAAAACATTCTTGTGACTCGGGTCGAATCAAATGATCTGGTTGTGTTGATAAACTCTTGTAAACTGATCTGTTTTCAAAATAATGCAAGAACTTAGTAGTCAATCTTGTGGTTCTGTTTGACTTTGAGATTCTATTTAAAATAACACTATTACATCTCTCGACACGATAAATTAATACTTCAAGTTTTAATCTTGCAACCAGGATTCCCTGGCTAAGTGGTAAAGAAAAAATAAAAACGAAGTAAGATTTAAACAGAAGTTGAAAATTGGAACTGACAGAGGACAAAAAACTATCAGGAAAAGTTGTATTAAAACGACAAAAATGAGGAAAAACCAACATGGCGAAATATTACATCCTACATTATATCATATTTTATTAAAAAAGTATTAATATATGTTCTTATTTATCGAATCAACTGAGTCTAAACAAATTCTACTTCTAAAGACCCTGCCTAGGAAATCAAAGAGGTGTCTATAAGCAAAACAACAAAAAAAATTGTTATTAGTCAAAGACGTTTTCTCATGCGTCGATCTAGACGAGAGATAAGACGAGAAAGGTTCACACAGATTTTGTTAAATTTCCTTCCTTTATTTTTTTATTTTCTCTTGTGTTTTATGTTTTGCTTCAATTCATTGCTGTAAATAAAGCCCCTTTTGTATAACATGCAACAGAGCGCCTTGTGTGCACCGAGATAAAAAAGAATAAAACAAAGAATAAACTGAAAATGACCTACCGTGATTTATGCACAAACACAAGCCCGTACAAACATACTACATATATATATATATATATATATATATATATATATATATATATGAAATTTAGATAAAGTTATATATACTCGCACATTGGTTTATCTACAATCATACATGCCTCTCGTAAATCTATCTCTTTTATAACACACACACATTCATACACAGACACACACACATATATATATATATATATATATATATATATATATATATATATATATATATATATATATATATATATATAGAGAGAGAGAGAGAGATAGAGAGAGTGATAGAGAGCCAGAATTAAAAGAGAGAACGAGATGTATATATTATTCTCTCCCTTATTTTTTCTCCGTCTTATATATATATATATATATATATATATATATATATATATATATATATATATATATATATATATGGTGTCTGTGTGTGCTTTTGATTGTACTTGAGTATGTGTACATGATGGCTATCGCCTCCTTGTCGATTATGGTGATTTTCCAAGAGAAGCTTAGATGTTGCAATGTCAAATCTGTGGGGACCCAAGTGTGGATCATACTCAAAATTCAGTCGTAATCGATCTAAAAAGATAACTTTGCTGATCATTACACTAAGTCAAACTCGTTGTCAATTATACATTCCGTTGTCATTAGGTCTATGTTTGTGACTGCTGTTTTAACCCAACAGTTGACTCGTAGATTCGTTCACAAATGGGCCATTAATTAATAATATGTAATTTTTTTTTTGTAATTGGTCGGTGCTCTATGACAATTTTTTTCGTGTCTCTCACTTATACGATGTCCATGTTCTACATCAAGATCTTTGAAGGCATTATTCTTCGCTCTTCTTTAGCATTCCTAGAATTCTGGAATTAAACTTTTCGCCTTGAAACGTCTTCCACTACTTTGTACGACAACTAGAATGCAACTATCAGTCACAAGTAATCTGGAATCGATCTTTCCTCCAGGAATCTTCTCCTGACATTTTCTATGATCATTTCCATCTTATACTTTGTGAGACTCACTGGTTCTTTCAGACTATTCTTGTAACTCTTCTTTGGTATACATACACCCACACAGAGGGACACTTACATGCATATGTAATTATATATACGTAATGTTTTATATATGATACGTTTTGTCACGTAACAGGATCCAAGAATACATTCTGCAGATGGTGACCTACTTGATTTGATTCCAGTTACGTCAAGGACAATTTTAGTCCTACGTAGTATTCCACATACAAGACAATTTGCAGAAGTGTTTGGAAAACTTCAGGAATGCTGGTGTTCTGTAAAATATTCTGAAGAACAGCTCACAGCTGCTCAATGCATAAACTCTCAAATATTTTTGTGCCACAACCCTCAGCTTGACACGATCGGAAGCCAAATTCGCAAAGGAAAACTGAGGTATGGCAATATAATGTTTATATATATATATATATATATCCGATGCAATATATAATATATATATATATATATATATAATTTCAATAAGCAATATATAATTTCTAACGTTCAAAGCATTAATCCAAAAGAGGGCTCGATACCGATTGTAGGGCGGTAATTATTTATTATAATTTTAACATCTAGACAAAAACAGTTTACTCACTACAAAGATGCAAGTTCCTGAGATGCTGTGCCTAAACTTTTGACGGTTGTTATCGGCAAGGAATCTTCCCAGAGTAGCCAGCATTCAACACCCCACCCATCCTTCATCAAACCGCTATCAACAAGCACTATTGTTTCCCTCCGTCAACTTTTTGCTTTATATATATATATATATATATATATATATATATATATATATATATATATATATATTATCAAATGATTGGGAAAAAAAGTGACATTTCACGTACGGCTTACTTACAAGCGGAACTGTTCATAAACATTTTGGATTCTCACCAGTTGAGGTGCAATTGAATTGCATTGAAACTATGTTGCATCCTCCTAGTGAGTAAATTGTTTTTGCCTTTATGATAAAATTGTAATATATATATATATATATATATATATATATATATATATATATATATATATATATATATATATATATAATACATGTGAGAAGGCTGGAAAAAACACCGTGCCAGAATGAATGAATATAAAAAATAGCTCAGTACAACGAACAGGCAACCTGGCGTGACTTCCCGATAAAGCGGTAGGATATAGTGTTTCACCTTTTTTTTGTACTGTACACACACACACACACACACATACAGATATATATATATATATATATATATATATATATATATATATATATATATATATATATATATATTCGATGCGATGGAAACGAAAGCAATATATAAAGCATTAATCCAAAAGAGAACTCGATACCGATAGTAGAAGGATAATTATTTATTATAATTTTATCATATAGACAAAACCATTTTACTGGCTACAAAGATGCAACTTCGTTTCATGGCATTCAACTGCACTTCAATGAGTGAGAATCGAAAATGGTTATGAACAATCCTGCTTGTAGGCAATCCGTATGTGAATTCGATTCTCACCTGTCAAAGTGTCTTTGAAATGCACTGAAACCAAGTTGCATCTTTTGTAGTGAGTAAAATGGTTTTGTCTATATGATAAAATCATAATAAATAATTATATAAGAAAACGTTATATATATTTTATATATAAAGAACAATATTGAGGAAATTTTATGACAAAGTGAAAAAAGTTTACATGTGATGTGTTTTGTCCTTCAGAACATAATGGGACCAAATTTGTTATCAAATGATTAAATCCTTTGCCCTTGTAAATGACTTGGCGTGAAGTCTTTGTTAATTTCTGTTGCGATACAATGTAGCGACCCTTCTGCCAGTATTTTTGCGAGTGTATGAGTGCAAGAGTTCCATTTGGGTTCTGACGTGAGCGTGTTACCTATTTGGGGGTGTCGTCACTCATACGAATCGGTGTAGCTGTAGGATCTGCTCGGTAGTGATGTAATGTTACTAGTTTTGTTTTGGATGTAAAGAATTTGATATGCAATCATTGAAATACTGATATTGAGAACCAAAGATCCTTATGCCAGAATCTCTCTCTCTCTCTCTCTCACACACACACACACACACACACACACACACACACACACACACACACACAATTATGTACTGGCATTGTAATCTTTTAATATCGATATATGGGACAAAAATAAACATTTTAAGTAATTATTATGAATTCTATTTTCCGAATTAATTGAAGCATGAATATTTCGAATTAATCAAGATGAAAAATAAGAAATAGAATAAAGCTCAACATTCAGATGAACGTCCATTTGAACAGAAGAATGAAAAAGCAGAAAAAAATATGGCGGGCATAAAAGAAAAGCAAACAAAGAAATATGTCGTTGTACAGGGGAGGATGAAGTAGAAGGAAATGAGAAACAAGGAATAAGAAGGGAAAGAATGTGTGATTCGAAAGAGAAAAAAAGTACTGGGAAGAAAAACAGACGACACAATGAAAGAAAGAAACAAAAAAATGACATTGAAGACAAAACAAAAAATACAAAGATAGACGACACAAAAAAGAAAGAAAGAAATATTTCGAAGAAAAACAGGAAAACGGCACAAATAAAGAAACAAACAAAAATAAGCTTTGAGAGGATAAAGCAAGATAAACGACAGAAAGAAAAAAAGAAAGAAAGAATTTAATGTAGGAAAGATAAAGCAAAATAGACGACAGAAAGAAAAAAAGAAAGAAAGAATTTAATGTAGAAAAGATAAAGCAAGATAGACGACAGAAAGAAAAAAGAAAGATAGAATTTAATGTAGGAAAGATAAAGCAAGATAGACGACAGAAAGAAAAAAAGAAAGAAAGAATTTAATGTAGAAAAGATAAAGCAAGATAGACGACAGAAAGAAAAAAAGAAAGATAGAATTTAATGTAGGAAAGATAAAGCAAGATAGACGACAGATAGAAAAAAGAAAGAAATAATTTAATGTAGGAAAGATAAAGCAAGATAGACGACAGAAAGAAAAAAAGAAAGAAAGAATTTAATGTAGGAAAGATAAAAGCAAGATAGACGACAGAAAGAAAAAAAAAAAAGAAAGAATTTAATGTAGAAAAGATAAAGCAAGATAGACGACAGAAAGAAAAAAAGAAAGATAGAATTTAATGTAGGAAAGATAAAGCAAGATAGACGACAGATAGAAAAAAGAAAGAAAGAATTTAATGTAGGAAAGATAAAGCAAGATAGACGACAGAAAGAAAAAAAGAAAGAAAGAATTTAATGTAGGAAAGATAAAGCAAAATAGACGACAGATAGAAAAAAAAGAAAGAAAACAAATATTGAGAAGACAAAGCTAGAAATACAAAGAGAGATGACACAAAGAAAGAAAGAAAGAAAGAAGGAAATATTGGAAAGAAAAACAGACAGAAGACACAAAGAAAGAAAGAAAAAAAATAACATTAAGATAAAGCAAGATAGACGACAAAAAGAAAAAAAATAATGTAGGGAAGATAAAGCAAGTCAGACGACCAAAGAAAGAAAGAAAAACAGAAAAAACGAAAGAAAGAAAGAAAAAAAAGAAAAATATAATAGAAAAAATTATTGGGAAGAGAAACAAAGACTGCACAAAGAAATAAAGATAAACTCTAATGAAATGGGCAAAAAGTAATTTATCAAATTAAAATTGATAACGAAAGATGGAAGGGTGAAAGAAGAGGTGGCGAATAAAAAAAATAATGAATAAATAGAAAATATCGAAAGAGTTAATGCACCGTTATGAAAAACGAATCAGCAAAAAATAGAAAAATTAATATGAAGAAAGGTTTAATAGACATGATGCAAGAATGGGGTGAAGAATATCAAAGGCCGAGGATAGGATTGATGAAAGGAAAAAAAAATATTACTTTAGATTGTTATTAAGGACAATATCATGAGAGACTAGAAAAGTTTAATAAGCATGCACGGGAATGAGAGAGATAGGTGAAAACAATTACTAGCGTCGACATAAAAATATAGAAGACTAAAAGGAACAGAAATTGAAGAGTGGTGATAGTAAGAGAAGAGAATTATTGAAATGTTATCGGAATAGCTGAGCAGAAACCCGAATGAAAACACCGAAAAGGTAAAGAACACTGTAGAGCTAGGTGAAAAGAAAATAATCGCTAAATAGGTTGATGCTAAGACGAAGAATACTAAATAAAAATAACTCGAAAATGGCTGCTTATTTAAACGTCTAATACAGACTAGAGAGAAAATAAACACAACAACCAAATATAGGAAAATATCACAACGAGAAGAATTTCAGATAAAAGACGGAGATTGGTATCTAAAAACAAAATGTTCATGAATAAAAGAGATGGATAAATAAAATAAATATCTCCTATTAGACATATATATATATATATATATATATATATATATATATATATATATATATATATATATATATAGTGTATGTATAGATTCTACTACGTAAATGGCCCATTATTGCGTGGACCGGAATTTGTTTCTAACTATAAAAAAAATGATTCGCTCGTTTCGGAATTCGAAGACAGCACTGTCGTCGTTTTGCAGTATCTTCTAATTTCTCGGCTGTTTTCCCTGTGTAATCTTAATGTCTGGAACAGGGAAATTAATTCCAACATTTCCAGACAAAATGCAAAACAAAGGAAATCAATGTTCCCCTACCCATCAACAAATACACACACCCTCAAAACACTTGCTTTATTTTTTTTAGAGAAGAGAAATAAAGTTCTCTATTTGTTTAGGTACATAATCATTTCTGTATACATTATAATATATAGGCAATCAAATGGAAAACTTTACCTAAATGATGCATTGTATTGTACGTTAAAAGTTTACTTGTTATCGAGCAAGGCTACTTTCTTTCTTTATTCTACTGTTAAATAAATACAAGTCCAAAGCGCCACCCAATATATATACTTACTGAATAGGAATGTTGAAAGGGTATATAGGGAGGAAGGAAGTGTTACATATCATGAGGATATGTAGGATAGACAAATGTTAACCGACGGTTTGAAGAGGTTAATATTTTAATGAACAGAAAATCATCGCCTCGGAAATCTGTTCAACAACAGATCTTTTTGGGTATATAGTATTTTGTGCCTAAATATGTTGACAGGGATAAAATGGATCGTTATTTTGCTAGAATTGACTTGGCATTTCTAAAAAGATGATAGGTGTGATTACAAAGATTTCACGTGAATAGAGGTTTGTTATTTTCTGCAAATTCCATATCATCACGTTGTTCGCCTCTATGCTGACCCAAGGACATATGCAGCAAGATGACCACAGAACATAAAAGGAAATCAATTTCTTTATTGTATCCTGTCCACCATTTTAATTTGGTCATGCACCAATCGATTATTACATTTTTCAATCACAGCAAAATGTTTTGATTGAGGGAAACGGATTCATGCCTTCGTCGGGAAATTTCACGGTATTTTACCCCCCCTCCCAACACACACAAAAGTATAAAAACTACCTGATAATTGGCAACAAGTCGTTACAAATAATGTTAAAGATATACTTTAAAATATAATTTTACTTTACTTTTGAAAAGAATAAATCTAGTAAACTGAACCGGAAATTTATTTTTTAGCCTCACACACACATATTTTCATCCACAGACAATGTTTTGCAGATCATCAGTATGGCTAGACGTCTGGTTGCCTCTAGCTAGGTTCGAAAACCGGCTGAATTGGCGTCAGTCGGAAATTCTACCCCTAAGCCGTTAGAGCACGGCAGGGATGAAGTTGAACTTAAGCGTATTTATTTTCACAGTGACTGAGAGAACTCGATTCGTTTTACCGAAGAATCTTGCATTATTAGCAGTAATAGTCACTGTTTACAAACTCACACTTCCTCCACCGAGAGTTCAACCAAAGTAAATTTTTCAGGAGTATATATATATTGTCATCTATAGACAGATAATTTCGCTGTATCACAGCTCAACAGTGTGGCTACTCATCCGGTTGCCTCTAGCTAGTATCGAAACCCGGCTGAATTGACGTCAGTCGGAGATTCTATCCTTAAGCCGTTGGCGAACGGCAGGGATATGGCAAAAAAAAAAAAAAAAAGAAATTTTTTCATTAAAGTTGTAGATTTCTCCTCAATTAATTCTTAGGTTTTCTGGGAACTGCAATGTTAATTCTGTATCAGGTAACGTTGGTTGCTTTATGTTCGTAAGTTTGTTGAAGTGGGGCTGTTTTACAAATCTATAAACCAGTCCTTACTGTCTTTAAAGTCTTTTTTTATGAATCACCCCCTGCACTCACTGCAATTACACTATGGTCCTAAAGTTTGGTGACATCCTCCAGATTTGGAAGAATCGCCTAAAAATTGATGCTTTCATACCTTTTCGAAAACTAATGTAATCTCTGGCAGGATAGTTTTTTTTTTCATTAACAGTTTTATCATATATCCAATGATAATAGTTAACGCATTATTTCAAAAAGTTTCCTTAAACGTATCGACTGTCCTGGTTATGATGATAAACTACATCCGGCAGCAATACATTCATTTACTCAATCTCGCTTTGTAGGCTATAATTTGGATTCCTCTGCCCCACCCCCTTTGCCATCAATTTGCCATATGAGTATCAAATTCTCGGAACCCTGTTTTCTCATTCTAAACCCTAGAAATTTAAACTCTCTCTTGTTGATGTTATTTTTACTGTTCTTTGCTTTTCCATTTTCTCTAAAACTTCGACGTTGCTCACTTGTTCGGTACATTTTATTCTTAACATGTTATGTAGAAGCACATTGTTATGCTTCAAGTCTCTTCTTCATCTGTGAGGTAATTTTCCAATATTCACTGCCATTTAGTTCTTTAATAAATCTAATACAACCTGACATAAAACTGAACTGTAGGGTACCTTATAAAGATTATTTGATAATCATATTTTTTTATACTTACGTTATTTTTTCCGTTTTCATAACATTTACTAAACTCAACATCTTTCAAATCTACAACGCTGAAACAACCAGTGGAACTACATCAATACCTCATGATATCAACTGATTCTTTTGCTAAAGGTACTTACTTCTATAGACAATGCTCCCTTAATATACGCAGTGTCACAACAAATATACTGTCAATAATTTCACGTGGTCTTAAAAAAGATGTATATTTTTTTTGCGTATAAATATTACAGATTTTTATATATAAAAAAAATCAAAAATGGATTCCATTAACGTGAGTTTAAATGCCTCATATTAAATAATGCTAATGTGAAATCTGCATTTTCTGGCGATGATTAGAAAAATGCACCTATTCAATGTCCAAGATGTATATATATATATATATATATATATATATATATATATATATATATATATATATATATATATATATTATCAGAAGAAACCGCATTATTCTATGTTGCTTATCACGTTAGTACGTATTTAAACATGTGATAACGCATACTGTGTCCGTTAGTAATGTTCGTGTTGCTTCGTTTGTTTTTGTTTGCTTGTAAGGGCCCGAATATACAGTTTAATGGTTTAATGGAAAGAAATTATAAAATAAAAATAATAAAAAAAACTCTTTTAAATTTTTTTTTTACCTATAGTTGCATTAACGCTAATATTTATCTGCAACATTTACACAAAAAGCGAAAGTCCTTCCCCGACGTCTCAACAGGCAATAATCAAGCAAATTCACTCGTAGTTTTTGAAGTTTAAAGCGAGATTGTTTGAAACAATAGAAGCTGGTTGGAAGCAAATATGTGTCATTAATTGGACCTGAATTATCGAAGCGATAATGCGATGAAGGGAAAATAATCGGCCAATATACATATAAATACACACACACACACACACACACACACACACACATATATATATATATATATATATATATATATATATATATATATATATATATATATATATATATACCTTAACCTCCCAAATATACACGTTAAAGTAACGCGAACTGACAGCGTCTAGGAATTTGAATGAAACCTGTCGTGTAATTTATTGGGGCTGTTGTAACGCGTTTTCCTTAATGTAGTCCTTATCGCTCACCCCTTAACCACCTTTATCTAGAGACGAGACGCGTTAGATTTGAGCAACATCCAGCCGACACACTGGGGTTAAAATAGGAAACTAAAATGATACATATGACACACTCATATCCTCTCTCCCACCTCACTTCCTCACTTCGTTAACTTTGCGTATACTTGATGAGGTCCGTAAAAAACGTGTGAATTTTCTTTTCATTTTTCATTTCAGCTTTTGGAAGTAAAGTCTGATGATCCAGAACCCTGTTAAAGGGATTATGGTGAAATAGCTTATTACATGGAATCTTAACGTGGTCTGTCTTTTATTCAAACATATCTGCTCTGAATTTTATATTGAGCTCTCTGGATATCATCCTCCTCAGGTCTACTCATACGGATTACCTAAATTTGCATAAATATATATATAAACTATATATATATATATATATATATATATATATATATATATATTTGGTTGGATAGATGTGAGTTTGTGACCCTGGGTTTTACGCTTTTAGCGATCGTCAGACAAACTGATTAATGTTTTAAAAAATTGGGTTTATGTAGATTGCGTGTATTGGTGTTATTGTGGAAGTGGTGGGGAAATTTCGTCGTTTTGTCATTCATCGTACTAACGCAAACATCGATATTTTCAGACACATATACATACACTGGTCGTCCGTCGGGACTCATACATATATAAACGTATGTGGGCAGTTTCGGCTATGACACATGATGTATACGGGTGGTGTTATGTCTATACATACGCATTTGTATGTTGAAATGTTGAAATTTAAACATTGGAAGTGTGGCGGAAATGTCTCGTTAATGTCTCGTGAATGTATCCATGTCATATTATGAAAATTTTCAACATACCGCTAATTTTAGTGTGGACATGTTTTCCGTCCTCATTCACATTCAAATTACCGCTTGAAAATGTGGGAGACCATATTGATTTCTTTCTTGAAGCTTTCATTACGTAAACAGAAGGATTTTGTTCTGGCCCTCCAATAAATTTTCATTTAAGAATTCCCCACCTCTATATATTGTTCATCTTTTTATTGATGACTAGCAGTAGAGCCTGGCGTTGCCCGGGGATGTAACAGTAAGAGTAAGAGATAGATCAATTATCGACCATCATAAAGACTGAAAAATAAAATTGACAAAGATTATTGTTTAAGGTTGACGGACACGCATGTCTTAATTAGTTTTTTTTGTTGTTTTTTTTTGTTTTTTTTACGAATTGGTCGAACCCAAACTCAAACAAAAACATTGTTTTCTATCGTTATGAGACTATCGATTGAATAGAATTTTATTATAAACAATTGTCTTTTAAATGGCACTTTTAAAGCATTCTGAATGTAAAAATAAAGAAAAAAAGTGTGCAAGACAATAAGAAACACTACCTGCCAAAAAATAAAGTGAAGTTTTGTTGAAATCGGTTGAAAAATGTAGGAAATCCGATCCCATATATAAACGAACACACACACAAACAACCTGGGTTTTATAATAAGTATAACTCGATATGAGTTTTCCCCCTTTCATTCTGGCGACAGAATCGTGTTTTCAAATTGATTTCATGCAAAAACAATTGTGTTTTTCCAATTTTTGGCGCTGTCAGAACCACCGCAAGGTAATTTTACGCAGTCCTGAGAAGTTTTGTTGAAATCGGTTGAAAAGTGTAGGAAATCCGACCCAATATATAAACGTACACACACACACACACACACAATCTGCGTTTTATAATAAGTAAGATTATTCTTTTATTAAGCTTTCTATATCTGTTGAGCGAAGTTCGAAACAGATTAGCTAGCTTGTTTTTCATTTTTATCATTTCAGCCCTTATTAGTGGCAATAGGAACATTTTTTTCTATTTATGACGGTCATTAAGTTTTCTACCACCAATTTAAAATATAGCAGTAATAATTTATTTTTATATATTCAATACGGTTAAAGATATAATACAATGAAATTGAAAATTAAACGAGTTTTTAAGAATATACATTTGCAGTAATATTACTTGTTTCACATAAGTGTGGCTATGCCGTGATATATCTTGCTTCGATAATTTTTTCCACTTTATGTAAAAATTATTTCTATCTCTTTAAAATACAAGCATAAAACCGCAAAAACGATGAAGATACTATACATAAACATTCTTAAAGACCAACATGTGTATTTACAACATCCTTTTCTCTATCACACACATACACATACACCTACACACCCACCCCAACCACTGACACACACACACACACACACACACACAC